GGGGGTCCCAGCCCCTGCCTCTCTGACCCCTCGGACGGGGGATCCAGTCCCTGCCTCTCTGACCCCTCGCAAGGAGGTTCCCAGCCCCTGCCTCTCCCATCCCTCCCTGGCTCTCGTCTGAGGCCCGTGGTCCCGCAGGAGGAGGGCGTGGCTTACCGAGGCCGGGTCCTGGTGGAACTGGACACCAGCATGGAGGGGCCCTCGGCCCAGGAGAGCGAGGAGATCCAGTCCCTGCCTCTCTGACCCCTCGCAAGGAGGTTCCCAGCCCCTGCCTCTCCCATCCCTCCCTGGCTCTCGTCTGAGGCCCGTGGTCCCGCAGGAGGAGGGCGTGGCTTACCGAGGCCGGGTCCTGGTGGAACTGGACACCAGCATGGAGGGGCCCTCGGCCCAGGAGAGCGAGGACATCCCGCCGGAGGCTGCTGCCAGGGTGGAGGTAACTAAGCAGGACTGGGGCCAGCCGGCAGACGGGGAGCCCCTCGTTAGCGATCGGGGCACCGTGAGCCGGGAGCGCCCGTGGGCCCCTCGCTCCCAACACACCTGCACGTGGCCCCTGCGAGACGGGAACCGCTGAGCCCCGTAGCCCTGGCAGCCCGGGCACTTCTCCCTGGCACGGCTGGAGCAGCCCTGCACCGACACGTCCCCGGGGCTGGGCCGCAGGGTCTGTCCCCTTGGTGCCAGGAGAGTGTCGGAGGGGCCGGGTTAGGCTGATCGCGGCACCGCCGTCCCTGGCCGACCCTCCCGGGAGCTCTGCAGCCTGCGTGGCAGGGAGGGGCCCTCTGGCCTCCCCACTGCGAGGAGAGGCAGTCGCAGCGCCCTGCGCGCGAGCCCAGGCTGCAAGAGGCGAACGCGCCCGGGCTCCGCGCTGCTCAGGGTTAGAGTGAGGCCACGGTGGGGACCGACCGTCGCGGTTGGACCTAGATGGGGCCTGCTCCCACCTGGCCATCCCATGGGTCCTAAGAAAGTGCAAAGGGGCTGCAGGCTGGAGCTGTTCAGCAAAGCCTCGCTCCGAAGGGCACGTGCCTGGTTCTTCCCCCGCCATCCGTGCCTGCTCCGAGGTTGCTGTGCCCATCTCAGGCAGCTGTCCTGCGGCGACTGGCCCACAGTCACCCCGTGAGCTCAAACGCCAGCGGCTGGTGCCTTTGCTGCAGCAGCGGCCAAGAGGTTCAGCAAGGACAAGAGCAGAGTCCTGCCCTTGGGGGGGAAGAATCCCACGTCCTGCTGCGGGCTGGGGGCCGACTGGCTGGGCAGCAGTTCTGCAGAGAAGGGCCTGGGGATTCCAGTGGAGAGAAGCTGGAGCTGAGTCGACAGGGGCCCTTGTGTCCGAGAGGGCGAATGGCACATTGGGGGGCATTAGGAGCAGCATGGCCGGCAGGTCCAGAGATGTGACTGTTCCTCTTTATTCGGCTGTGGGGAGGCCACATCTGGAGTGGTGCGTCCAGTTCCGGGCCCCCCACTACAGAAAGGACGAGGGCGCATTGGAGAGGGGCCAGCGGGGGGCGACCAAAATGCTGAGGGGGCTGGAGCACGTGGCCTGCGAGGAGGGGCTGAGGGATCTGGGCTGGTTCAGTCTGCAGCAGAGCAGAGGGAGGGGGGATTTGAGAGCAGCCTGCAGCTACCTGAAGGGGGTTTCAAAGAGGATGGAGAGAGGCTGTTCTCAGTGGTGACGGATGGCAGAACAAGGAGCAATGGTTTCAACTTGCAGTTGGGGAGGTCTAGGT